GTCGTTATCTGACATCTCCTGCGCTGTTATCGTTATCTCCGTCGTCGTTATCGGTCGTTATTACTTAATACCTTACTTATTGTTTTTATCGTTTTTCTGCTCGCCCGATTTTGCGGCTTGAGTCCTCTTTCCGTCGCGTTCTCGACGCTATACTCCGGAGCGGGTCTTTTTCGTCCCGTCCGTGCGTCCCGAATTCCGTTCGCGGCCGTCGCGTCCGGAAAACGCCGAGAGTACGCGTTAGGACCTAACCTAACCTAACCTAACCGAGCGTCTAGTGGTCGGTCATTTCATTAAATTCACAGGTGTAATACACCTTGTCCCGTAGCTTGCTGTGCTTTTGTGCATGGAAATAAATAAATACATTCGAAAAGGTAATTAAGTGTCTGATTACCAGTCATCGTCCAGTGAATATCGATTCCTGAAGGCAATCCGCCTGCGGCGGATTGTCATACTCCTGACGTCGAAGGCGTTGTGCTGCTTAGTACGCAAAAGTTTAAGTCGAATCGAGCGCTCGTTTCAAGCGATCATCACCATTGAAAATCCGTAAACGCGTTTAAACCTCCCAGGTAGGCGAATCCGACTGCGTCGACCGCGGACGATATGAGCGCAAAGTGGAATTTAAACAGTGATGAAATACATGTCAAACGTTATGATTCGTGGTAAATAGTGAGACGAAAATCAAAACTATATATATTTAATCATTTTTGATAACAGAAATTACAATTAATACAAAATTTAAAAATGCAAAATCCTAATACTTGGTCATTTGTACAGCCCGGATTTTGCCGAAACGTAGTTTCGAACCTGCTCTTAACATCAGGAGAACCGTCCAGCTTGCGAAGAAACGGCAATCGAGTGTCTAGGTATCAGTCATCGCCCATTACGGTGAAAGTCGATTCCTGACAGGCAATCCGACTTCGGCAGATTGGATGCATTTCCAGCTTGCCCGGTGATTTTGAGACGAAAATCTATAGAATAAACAGCCGAGGTTGATCAGTGTCTACGAGTTAGTCACTCATCGTCCAGTGAATATCGATTCCGACAGGGTAATGCACTACCGGCGGTTGTCATACCTCCTGACGTTTGAGCGTTGCTGCTGTTTGAGCGCAAAAGTCTAGATCGAATGCAGCGCTCGATTTTCAGCGATCACCACTGAATTCCAGTTAAACGCGTTTGAACCTCCAAAGGATGGCTGTGAAAAGGAGAGATGTTAAACGATGTATAGCGCAAATTATGCGTCAAACGTTAGTGAGGTTGAGTCTCGAAGATCAAAACTATACATAATTACATATTTTTGATATTTTTATAGATGAGTTAGATATTGAAGAAATATTATCCTTTCTGGCGGTGACAAGAAGTATTTAATGTGCTACTGTTTTTCCTACTATCTTTCAAATGTAAACAACTGAATGGCTAAACATATAAAATAGTGAATTCACGGTCAAACTAGGTAAAACAACTGTATTTAAGTATAAAAATGTTCTCAGTGCTATAATATAAGTTGCATAACTCACATATACATTTGAATTAGTGTGCATACTGTATAGCAATAACTATAATTGGTTTAATTGAATACAATAATCTATCTTTAATCTATTTAAAATAATAATTGAATACTATTGTATAATTTAATCGTTCAAATGTATATTATAATATAATATATTTGCATCATCAATCAAGCAATATAAAATGTAATGTGATGAGATCAAAAATCGTTTTAAAATTTTAAAATATTTTATGAGTAGTAGTGTAAACTGGATATCAAACGAAAATACAATTAATAATCGAATTAAATGAAAATGCAAAATTTCCGATACTGTAGTATCTTATGGGGCGCAGAATACGCCGGAACCTGCCACCTAACGAGGGGGACTATCCTAACACCTATCGACTACAGTTTGAGTTGTAAACACGACCGAATCTCGAGCATAAGCCGTTTTAGAGATGCAACGAATACTACTTATACGTCGTTTAACCGTAAATTTTACGATCTGCGTGTCACAAACCGTAAATCGCATATTTATTGTCGTTTAGAATGTTTCCGACGTATTCTTTTACATTTTTAATCGTATACGTTTTAACGACGTACGAGTTTATTATCACATCCATATCACGTATCCCAGCAATACGTAACTGGAACGAAGTACAACAGCGGGAAAAAAAAATTGTAATTTTTCGATTGGTCGGGACACTAAACCTATCGGCCCGTGTCGCAACTATTCTTCGTTTTATATTATAAGAAGAAGATAAGAAGAAGAAAGAAAGAAGAAGATTAGCTAATAGTTTTGACTTTTGACGTTTTGGGTGCCTTGACTTTTAAGAATTCAATTTTAACTAAATTGAAGTTTGAAAGTTCTCTGGAAGCTGCAGGAAGCCAACTGAAAACCAAATAAAACACCCCAAGATAACTGCAGTAAGTCACGAGTTTTAAATATATCTCCGTAATTCTATTTTTAACCGTTTGCTTAATTAATCATTAATTGTATAGATTTGATATGCTCCATAAACTGTTCGTATTTGCTAAACCATATTATTCTGGTTACAGCTTGATCAAAGTTCACAATCAGTTATTCGCGCTCAGCGTTCAACAGAACATATTTTTCAATTTGAAATACTCAACAACCTGCTTGGACATGGCCAAAAAAACCGCTTTATTCATTGTAGCAGAAGGCAGTGAAGAGCTTGAATTAGTTGCACCTGTTGATATCCTTCGCCGTGCTAATGTAAAAATGCTCAAATAATGTTATTTTTAAATAAGTAGTTAAAATAATTTGTTTTTTAGAAAAATTTCAATTTTTTATTTTAAATTAATATAGGTATTACATCTAACACATAAATTTACTTTTAATTTTTTTTTGATAGTGAAACTAGTAAAAGATAATAATAAAACATAATATAATCCTTTTCCAATAAAATATTCAATTCTTTTATATATATATACTCTGTTCCAAATAAGATGGCTTGTACACAAACAACCGAATTGTGTTTGGTTTGCATCAGAGTAGATCACTTGCCACCGCTTGCATTGCAAAACCGGTTGTCATATTGTGCTATCTAACTGATGTGTTTGCATGTGGCTCTTTAGCCATGCCCACTGTGCGCGAATGCAAATCATCTTATTTGAAACAGAGTATATATTTGTTTATTTATTGTTTAAAGGTGATTGTTACAATTGCTGATTTAGCTGATTCTGAATATGTTAAGACTAAATCTAATCTACTGATTAAAACTGATGCTAAGTTGGGAGATATAAAAAATAACAAATTTGATGCAGTTGTTATACCTGGTGGTCCATCACACAAAACCTTAGCTTCGGTAAGTTTTAGTTTATATTTTTTTTATGATTATAAGCAAATTAAAATATTAAATTTTATCATAAATAATGAAAAATATGTTCCAATAATGTTCAGATTAAATAAAGCAATTTGATTTTGAAAAAATTGTACTGTTAAAAATCTTTTATAAATATTAGGTTATATTACTGTACTAAAAATATTGATTTTAATTTATATTATATTAAAGTGATTTTAATAATAAAAGTACAATTACAAAGACACAAAAGAGTTAAGAAACTATTTATATATTAAGTGTTTATAATATTGATATTTTCTATGTATATAGTTCACAAAAATACATTTCTTATTATAATATTATGTCATAATTTTGTGTACCAGTAGTCAGTGATGTACAACACTGAAGCTTTCCAAATATTTGTCATGATATATATTATATATTTTCAGGCTGATATAGTTGGTCAAATTTTACTTGAACACGAAAAATCTGGTAAAGTTATTGCTGCTATTTGTGCTGGTAATGTTCTATAAAATAATTTATATTATATTTGATACTTTTATGTATAACAAATTACTAATAAATAATAACTTTAACATTTACAGCCCCATTTGTGTTATTCAAACATGGAATTGCAAAAGGAAAATCATTGACATCTTATCCAACTGTTAAAAGTGACATTGAGGGTTATTACCAATACAAAGAAGATAGTACAGTAGTTGATGGTAAAATTAAAATATTTTTTATAGCTATACAAAATTAGTTTAATACCAATCCTCCTACTTATAATGAAATAATAATAAAAATTTGTTTGTCGTTACTTTCTAACTGCGAATTATTTTTAATAAATAATTATTTATTTATTAAATTAATATAAATTAACATAATGTTTGATTTTGAATTTTTTAGGACAAAATTTCTCAAACACAATCATTGTCATCTTTATCGGCTATTATATAAAAATATGCTTTAATCAATTTACTCTAAATTCCACTCTTTTTCAAATATCTAACCATTTTTGTTTAATGAATTTTTTTTCTCCCTGGACAAATTTATATAATAATATATATATATAAACTAATTTTGTATTATATTTATAAATAAATCTATTAAGTGACTTTTTATATTGTTTTAAAAAGTCAATGAATTTTTAACAAGTTCTTGTTTTTTTTCTTTTGCAGGAAATCTGGTGACCAGTCGTGGACCTGCTACAGCTGTTGAATTTGGATTAACTCTAGTAGAAGTATTACTTGGTAATGAAGAAAAAGTTAAAGTAGCTAAAGGTATTCTTTATCCTCTTTAAAATAAGATTGTTTTTTCTAATACCTATACAAAAACAATTTATAAACCATAGAAATATTTAGAAAATGAGTGCCTTTTTTCCCAAGTTCAATATTTTACTATTTTACTGGTTATTTTTAATCGTATTTTAATTATATGAATTTTCTTGTCTCAATTTTTGAATTCTGAATAAATCAAATACAAACAGACTGGAAACTTTTTGAATTCTTTTAAATAAAATAAATACATGACTGTAATATTAGATTTTATTGTTATATTATTTATAGTGTATATAATATTATTAGTATTTAGGTTTCTTGTATAATATTAGAAGAATTTATTTTTTGAACATAGTTAATAATTATTTATATAAATTTTATTTTATTAATTTATTTATTTAATAATAATAAACCCCATACAGCTTTTATAAACAACAAGTAATAATGTAAATTGTAATACAATACATAAGTAGGTAAATAATACCCACAATAATGGATTATCTGATTGAAAAATATAGCTGGCAAATTTTAAAAATGAACGTCGGGCTCTTAAGTTTACAAAAAAGCCATAGCCACAACAGTGTCCTAGTTTCAAGAGCAGTGGTGTGCAACCTGATAGTCAAAACTCCTAAAGGGATCACAAAATTTTAACAGGGGGGGAGGTCCATCAATAATTTAATACCAAACAAAAATGTTATATTAGTTACGTAATGTTGGTAGAAAGGAGATCGCCTCATCAAAATTAATTAATTTGAAGGTCATGAATCAAAAAAGATTGTACATTACTACCCCAGAGGACAGAGCCATATATTCCAATATTTATCAGATGAATACGCAATATAAAGGTGATGCCTTTCATATAGTCCTACTAAATACAAAAAAAATTAAAGTATAAAATAATTTAATTTTTTTTACATTTCATATTCATAAACAAATATCAATTTTTAATTAAAAAAATTATTAATACAGTTAACTTGTAATAAAGTATTCTTAAAAATGTAACTTTTATAGAACAGATCAATAATATATTTAAATATCTTAATGTTATTCATATTATACATAGTCAAACGAATTAGTAAAATGCATTAGAAACCAGTACAATAAATATACATTACACATATCTAATGTGAATACAGTTTTTCCCTTTTAAACAGAAAGCCTGTAAATGTTAATAGGAAAAACATATTTTTTTATAATTATTAATATAATTATTTTAGTAAAACATCAAATAAAACAAAATGAATTATTTTAAATACCTAAGAGAAATAATGTTAATTCATATTTAAAAATGGTATAAGTATATAATTGTGTACATCAAGTATACCAGTGTTATTCTCTGTTGCGATAATGAAATACGTAGGTACTCTTTTTTGATATAAATATACAGTTCAATGCAGATCGCCACTTTCTCAAAGCGAGATATTTTTGTATTTTTTGAAAACAGTGCTGGGATATATAGTTCAAAAGTGGGACTGTCCTGCCCAAGCGGGACGTATGATCATGTTAAAATGTTATATAAACATGCATAAAATTTAAAAAAACAATAGAAATTTTAAAAAAAATTGTAATTCTATAGGTTAATTTTTATAACTCATTATTGTTTTTTTAATTAAAATTATACCTACAGCTTATCGTTAATAGAATAGCAAACGTAAAATATTATAAGTTTAAGAGAATACACTTTATTCTATTTGAATTAAATTACCTAAGACGCAATTGAGATATTTATTTAGTTTATTTAACCATTTAAAACCGTATTTTCTAAAAACTATTTGATACGGTACCTACAGATCATGCTGGTCATGCACTCATGTATATAAATAATACATAATAATTAATATATTTTGAAAGAAGAGCAGGTCTTCATTTGCTGGTTTCATTATACGTTTGAATGAATCATTTAACCCATTTAGGTATTAAATAGTTATTGAGCTATATGGAATGAAAACTATAATTGTATATCTATTTTGAAGTGTGGGACATGAGTGTAATTTAAAGTTGATGAGGGAGAGGAGAAAAGAGAATGCATTTTAGGTTCATTTATTGAGAACTTTTTTAGAACTTTTTCGAACTAATAACTGGCATCTACGTATATAGGTTACCTACTATGTGAATTTCAAATAATTGAACCATTGAGAATTGACTCAATTAGAAAACAAACACGGCTTTAAACATAACCTAGAGTTTCGTAAACTTTGCATGTGATATGATCAATATGAGAACAAGGAGAAAGGGTAGAAACGGAGACGAAACTCACTAACCCAGGTCCTGTATATATGACTACAAATAAAATAAATCCTGCATTTTTAGTGGAGTAAGTAAATAAAATAGGGTTTGGACTTTTAGTATAAATTATGGATTTTTATTTGTCGATGTTAAGTAAGGACAGACTGAGGGATTTTTATATAATTTTCACAACTATCTATCTATAGATATTTTAAAAGAAAAAAGTTATTTGTGATATATATACAGATACTTCCTGCTTAATATATCGAATGCTTGACAGTATAATATATAAATAATGTGTAACATATTTTGTACTCGCGATAACTTCATTTATTTGAGGAATACAAAAGATTATCGAACCATTAGTATTGCGAAAATGGAACTACAGCAGTCAATAATGGTGACAAGTAGCGAAAAAGAACAAAAAAAAAAATATATACTTATTTGTTATTAACGTCAAATTCCGTGGGAATACAGTGCATGGAATCTCGGTTGACCGTTTATGTTACATTGCTGCTGTTGCAGGTCAAACAAAACCAGATTTCCGGGTACACGTGGTTTTGTCACGGGATCAAAGATTGCCCCTTTTTTTATTATTCTTTTTTGATAGTTTTTACAAATGGGTTGTGCAGATTGTCACTGACTTGAAGCCACCTAAAATGGTATTGCCATTCATCAATTGTGCCGAGAAGTCCCTTCTGTCGAATTTAGGTGAGAAATATGTATACACATAGGTATACCTACTTGAATTTTATGCTTGCACACCGCAGAATTATTAATAAATCATATTACACGCCTTATGTACAGTGAATATCTAACCTATTATATGCATATTTATATATGTGTGTGTGTGTGTGTTAACTCACATCTAGATTTGTTTTGTCAATTCGCTGGGCTAACCATTTTTACACAACCCACGTCGATCCCTCACAGTAGGAATCGTTTTGTTAGCGTAGTTTGTTATTAATGATTATCTTTACGTTTTTCCTTTCGTGTATAACACTATTTATGTGAAGGTACGTGTGAATTATTCCAATATGTGACCTTTATATAAACTAATTTCTGCAGTACTTAGTTTATTTTTATTCAATTTTAAATATATGTGTTAATAGAAAAAACTTGAAATTAAGTTTTATAGGTACTTTAAAAACATTCATATTTAGATATATTTAGACTAGGTTTATATGGTATATAGTATAATACACAGAAATACAACGCAAGATAATGCTTATGACTTATGAGTAGAAACAAGATGCAGAAGTACAAAAGTATGTTATCATGTTAAAAATACAAAATCAAATTTTAAGACTTTCAACTTGTATCTATTTATTTAATATAGTGCAGGTTAGACTTTAAAATCGAATTATATAGGTAGTGTACCTATTAAAGTTTAAAATGAAATAAAAAATAGAATATTAATACATTTTCAACTTTTTTAGTACATTGCCCTGCAAACATTAAATTACAAAAAAAAAAAAAATTATCTCACCCGTTAATCCATCCTAGAAGTTAAAGAGAAATTTATGCTACTTACTCCGTAATGATTGTTGTCTAAATTCTAAAGCTTAGTGTACAGAAGTATGTATTGTCAGTGGGCAGAATTTTCTAATTGAAAGCTTTCAATGTTAAACCGTTTTTGTAAATGTAATTTATATGTTTATATTGTACTTATCTATAACTTGTATAAATTATATAAATAAAATAAAGAATATAAGAAAAAATGTTTTGAATTGTTATTGTTTATTACATTATTGTAATTATTATGTAGTTTATTTTTCCACAATTATTATACGAAATAAAATACATAAACTTATATTTAAACTCTGCAGAACATCACATACAATACGATAAATAAATCTAGAGCGATATTGGTTAAAACTTTTTGTAGGTATATAGGTACACAATTTTAACAAGATTTGTTTTTACTACACTAAAGTTAGGTATGACATGGCAATTTTTCGTTCAGTACCTGGAATCAATTTTGTATGTTTAGCTTAAATATTAGAGTGAAATGAACCATTATTAAACTTAAAGGTAAAAACATTATGTTTACTATAAAAAAAACAATGCATTTCATTAATTATTTGCTTATCTAAACTAAGTGTTATAATTCCTTTTTTTACACGAAAATAACGTTTTTAATCAAACGTAAAAATAAAATTTGATTTCAACATTCGCCACTAAAATTGGTAGCTTATCCTAAGTTCTAAAAAAACAATAAAGAAAATATGTGCAGTATCCATGCAGTTCGCATGTCTCTATTTATTTAGGTCACGCCCTCAGGCCCTCTAGTTGCATTATGGTTATCGGTTATCAAACTATCATCATATACATTATCCGCAATTAAAGTATAGACTGTACCGATACAATACCATCAATTACACCGTGCGATCGCAATTGATAGGTATATGCCATATGGTGTACATATTATATATTATACGAGTATAAAATAATATATGCACATTATGCGCGATAAGTCGAACACCGTTTTTCACTTAGATTCTCAAACTCTTCAAATCTGTCTGTAGTTATAATACGTACACCGGCTCGAGTTTATTAAAATCGGTTTACATTTAGTATATTTCTACATAATATATTGCGTGTATTGCTCTGTAGTCTGTACTATACGTCACATTATAAATATATATATAATACTTACAATTCGAATATTATTATAATACTACGCACTTATACGTCGTTTAGCGACGATTTAAACGAATATAGACATTTTATGTATCAACGTAATAATATATATATAGGTATATAGTCATATAACAGCGGATTATATAACACGATATATGTGCAATAACGATCGAATAAACGAAATATTATAGCATTTATAACTATCTCGACACGGTTTGTGTACCC